TATCACTATGGAAGTAGATTGCCCCATCTTCCTTCCAAGGAGTGGCTTTGCACTGCCAGCCTTCTGGTTAGCAGTCAAATACCTTAGGCACTATGCTACCAGAGCTCCTAATTCTAACTTTTCAAGGAATTGCATAGATATTTATTGTGGTTATATCCTCTTGTTCAACTGATCCTTTAATCATTATATAATGTCTTCTCTTGTCTTAAGAGACAAGGAATAGAGTGGTGGTTTTTGTCTTAAAGTCAATTTTATCAGAAATTAATATTGCCACTCCTGCTCTTTTTTGATTGACATTTGCTTGACATATCTTTTTCCAGCCTTTGATTTTTAGTCTATTTTTGTCTTTGTCTCTAAGGTGTGACAGCATACTGATGGATGAGTTTTTTTCTTCAGTCTGCAACTCTCTGTCTCTTGAGTGATGCATTTAATTCATTGACATTCAGTGTAGTTATCAACAAGTCTCTGGTGGCATGGTGCCTAAGGCATTTAACTGCTAACCAAAAGGCTGGTGGTTCAAACTCACCAGCCACTCTCAGAAGGAAGGTTGGGCAATCTACTTCTCTAGTGGTACCACCTCGGAAATTCAAGGAGGGGTTGCTATGAGTCAGATCTGACTTGATGGCAGTGAGTTTGTTTTTTTTTTGGTGGGGGAATGAATTAGTTGCTGCCATTTGTTATGTGTCTTTTTGTGGTGTTGCTTATTTCTTTGTTCCAATTGTTACAAATTGTTACAATTTTCTGTGCTGAGCTCATTTTGTTGATGAATTGTGTTATCATTTCCATCATTGCTATTCTTTTAGTATTTGCTAAATATTTGTGCTTGTCCTCTTTTTAATTTTGATGCAAAAGTTTATCATTTTTCTTTGAGGTTACCTTGTGATTTATCATTTTCTTTCCAAGTTTAGAACAGTCTGTTCTATCTTGAAATTGCCTTGAACTCCTCACCATTTAGAAGTTCTGTAACTACACTATTCTTTCCCTCTTTTTGGTTTGCTGTTGTCTTCATTTGCCAATTAATGTCTCTGGTTCTCTGTTTACAATCTTGTAAGCTTAATTTACTTTGAATCCTTCCATAACTGGGTTGGTTTCTGGGTTATATTATCATGTATGTTGATGGTAAGTTGTTGTTTACTATTGTTGGATCTCTGTCCAAAGAACTCTCTTTAGCATCTCTTGTAATATTGGTCTGGTTTTACCAAATTCCCTTCATTTCTGCTTATCTGGAAATGTCCTAATTTCACAATCATATTTGATGGACAGTTTTGTGTATATAATTTTTGGTTAGAAGTATTTCTCTTTTAGGGTTTTACATATACCATCTCATTGCCTTCTTGCCTGCATGGTTTCTGCCAAGATATTAGAGCTTAGTCTTATTGATTGCCTTTTGTAGGCAACTTTTCACTTTTCCCATGCTGCTTTCAGGATTCTTTTTTGTCTTTGGTTTTGGTGAGTTTGATGATGATATGTCTTGGTGATTTTCTTTTGGGGTCTAACCTGTTTGGGGTACATTGGACGTCTTGAATAGATGTATTATCATCTTTCATCATATCAGGGAAATTCTCTTCCAACAAATCATCAACAATTTTCTCTGTGGTTTTATTTGTCTCTTCTTGTTCTGGAATTCTGATTACACATAGGTTATTCCTCTTGATTGCATCCCACATGAATCTTAGGCTTCCTTCATTTTGTTTTGAACTTTTTTCTTCTTTTTCTTTTCAAAGAAGTATTAAGGTATTTATTTTCAAACTCACTAATTCTGTTTTCCATTGATTTGATTCTACTCCTTTGCCTGTTCAATGTGTCATCTATTTCTGAAAATTTAGTATTAATCTTCTGGGTTTCTTTCTGTAGATTATTTATTATTTCTAATTTTTCATTCATTTTGTCATTTTGTTCTTATATTGTCTTCCAAAATTGTTCCAGGCTTTTGTCCGTGTTTTCCTTAATTGTCACTGTTTTCCTTGATCTGTCTCTCAACCTATTGAAGGTACCCAAATATAATTCTTTAGAATTCCTTATCAGGGAGTTCCAATGCTGCTTCTTCCTCAGGGAATGTGTTCTGGGTCTGTGTCCTGCTCCCTTGTTTCTACTGCTTTATCTTGCTTCTTTGTATGGACTGTGATAGTCTATTGTCTCTGAGACATTGTGACTTTGTTGTATTTATATTTAATTGGTGGTTGTATGTTGGAATGATTTGCCCAAGATTTTCATTTTCTTTGTTTTGTTTGGATGTATCTGAATAAGCAGGGTACTGTGCTTCTCTATTTGCCAGTTGACAGCACTTATGCACTCACCACCTGTCTCTTGGTGGGTGTGGTAGAGAATGACAGTGGGTGCACAGATCTCTGTTAGCTGTTTGTGAAGAGCAGTTAAGGGTGAGTCAGGCTCACATTGGCTGTTGTGTATCATTGGCCACTTGGAGCAGAAGCAATTAGTGTCCCTCACTCAGTAGATGGGACTGCAGGAGATGTGGGTATGGTTAGGTTGTATGGTTGCTATCTCCCACTCAGTTAGACAAAAA